CGGTGGGGGTGGGGGGGCGGAAGCGAGGTAGTTAAAAGAAGGAGCCAGATGGAAAATACAAGGATTTTTACTTTGCAAAATAGCTGAACTTGCTACATACATATACACATATAGAAAATGATCCATGATCCTATGCTGTTGTGGCCAGAGGACCATGGATTCACAAAGTCCCATTTCTACTTCAGTGGCTGGCGTGAGCCCAGTGAGATCTGCTTCCATGGAGGCAGCAATGAGCAAGAAAATTCTCAGGACCAGGTCCCTTCAGAGGGAGGTTTCCTTAAGGAAGGAAGGGGGACAACTTAAGCGGTGGCCAAGTGTGCGTATAAGGGAGGAGGAGCCCTGGGCTGGCTGCAAGAGAGAGGAAGGGGGAGGCTGTGCTCACGGCCGCCTCCACAGAAACTGTGAGATAAACGTGTATTGTTTCAAGCTGCTACATCTGTGGTAGTTTGTTATTCAGCAATAAACCACTAATACAAGGTGTTTCATATCTGTCTCTTCCATTAGACTCTAAGATCTGTCATGTACCGCTGAACCGCCAACATCTAACGCAATGCCTGACCCATCGTTTATGCCCAATAAGTGTGTGATGATTGATGATGGGTGGAAAGGGAGGTGACCAGGGGCCCCCAGTGTGAACCCTTTCTTGTTTGGCTTGTAGACATCTTTCTAATTATTATACTTTAATGAATGACTTATGAAAAAGGAACCATAGCCCGGCCGGGCGTGGCTCAGTGGTTAAGCGTCGACCTAGGATCCAGGCGATCAGGACACATGCCCGGGTTGCGGGCTGCAGCTGATCAGTGATTCTCTCATCATTGATATTTCTATCTCTCTCTCTCTCTCTCTCCCTCTCCTCTCCTCTCTCTGAAATCAATAAAGATATATTTAAAAAAAAAAAAAAGAAGAAGGAACCATAACCCCTATGGTCCCATAACTCTTTGGGGGAAATTAAGCATAAAGAATTTTGGCATCTTGCTCTACCCAGGTGGACAGAGAAGAATTTGTGATGCTTGTGCCTGGGACTGAGAGTGTAAGAAACAGGAGCTGGACTGAAGAAGTCTTGATCTTTTGCTGTTTTCTAAAGCTCGGGGGGCAAAGATGATACTAGAGGCTCTAAGTTATGGGCTGAGACAAAAGCACACAATGACATTATAATCACATTGTACAGCCAATTTCCAGAATCTGAAATTACATATGCGCTTGTTTTTTAGCACCCTGAAGCGGGCCCTTGAAGTCTTCAAGCAGCGTAAGTGACTCTTTAAAATGTATTTGCTGTCCGTGGCAAGCTCTATCTGTCATCAAAGGTGGGTTTTCACTTGAACAGTAGTCTCATATTTGGTGGGGGAAAAAATGAAAGCAACTCCTAAGGTGAGAAATAGCTCAGCAGAGTTGAAGTGAGCTGGAGAACCCCCCACACCTGCATATCAGGACATGCATTTGACTTCCTTAGAGCTGTGGTTTTCACACTTGAAGTCTAGGTTGAGGCGTTGGCACTTTGGTCTTTGAGGGATCCTGTCCAAGCCTGTTACTCAGAAACTCCCTTTAAAGCTTTCTTTTCTTCAGAATACTTGGTGCTTCCACACTGAGGATTTGGCCAAGGCATAATATGTACACCTGCTTAAAGTGTTTCTGTAGCCAGTTATGTGACTCTAGAGCTTTATAAAGGTTAGCTAAGAAAATATTCGTCTTAACTTTTCCATAGAAGATGGTCTCTTCCCTCTTTAACTCATCAATGAATACATTTCTCAAGATATGGACAGCATCTTCATGTTTCTTAACCATGGCGTAGCACAAGGGCACATCAGCATAAGCTGGATCTCCCAAGCATATGTGTTTGTTGTTACTTTACTTGTTTCATTTTTCCTAACGAGTAGCTTCATTTCATTAGTAAAAAATATATATTTAGCCCGGCTGGGCATGGTTCAGCGGTTGAGCATTGACCTGGGATCCTGGAGATCGCAGTTCGATTCGCAGTCAGGGCACATGCCCAGGTTGTGGGCTCCATCCCCAGTGGGGGACGTGCAGGAGGCAGCCCATCAATGACTCTCTCTCATCATTGATGTTCCTATCTATCTCTCCCCCTCTCCCTTCTTCTCTCTGAAATCACTAAAGATGTATTTTTAAAAATATATATGTATATATATTTATATAAAAAATTCAAATGAGACAACTAACTGTGAGGAAGATAGTAATCACCCAAGTTTTCACTTCTTACTGCTAAGCAGTTATTGGCAAATATGCTTCCAATGTTCTTATGCAACACACACAGTTATGTTTTTATCTATTCATATTATAAATAAATAGGATCACACCATGGCAGTGTGTCAAAATCTGTAGGGTGGGGCACATATTTTTAAATTGTTTTTTAAATGAAAAATATCTATTTTTAATCATGCTAGCAATTTGGTATATATCTTTCCAGACCCGTTAGTATGCATTTACAACTCTCAGTCTCTCTTTCCTTCTCTCTAATTAGAAACATACACACATGTACAGACATACATGAGATTATACTACGCATATCTCTCTATAATTTAGCTAACAGTATATCATAGACATCTTTCCACTTCCGTTCATATGAATCTGCCTCATTATTTTATTTATTTATTTACTTTTTACTATATCTTTATTGATTTAAGAGACAGGAAGGGAGGGGGAGAGAGAGAGACAGACAGACAGAGACAGAGACTGCCTCATTATTTTATATTAAATTTTTTTGATCCTACAAAATTTCTTCCAGAAAGGTTGTATTGATTTTTTCCCCACCAACAATGCTGTTTTTCCCCATCTTCACCAATACTACGAATTTTCATGCTTAAAAATTTTGCCAAACTGAAAGGTAAAAAATGATCTCTTTCTATGTTTTAAAATTTTGCATTTTTCAAAAGTGTTAAGGCTGAATATATTTTCAAATGTTTATTGTCCATTGAGCCAATTTTTTTTACATTTCATGTTCTTTAACCAATTTTTTATGTTGGAATATATATATATATATATATTTCTTTTGATATGTGAAAACTTTTAATATAGTTATTTATTCTTTGTTATATAAATTGCAAATATTTTTCCAGTTTGTCATGGTATCTCCCAACCTTGTTCAAGTTATCTTGAGACCCACAAATTAAAAAATTTTTTTTTGCTATTTTGAAAATAGCTTTTTATTTTTAATTTTTTAATTTAACTTATCTTTATTGTTGAAAGTATTACAGGTGTCCCTCTTCTTTTTTAAGATCAGATCTGTTAGTCTTTCTAACTTAAAGGTCATCCTTCAATTTATTTTCATTGAACAAGTAAGATTAAAATTTTAGTTTTTCTATTCTAGAGGTACGCTGTGCTGATTGTACAGGTTTTAGAAACTAAGGGGGCAGGGAATCAACAATAATCTTTCTCTCCAGAGATAACTCTTGTTAACCAAAATTTTGCTGTATGTCTTTCTTAAAAATGCTCAGGCACATGAGGTGTTGGAGATCCTTAGAAGTCACCTACTGAGAAATAGGGTTGAATTTGAAGTTGTAGTGGCTTTAGTAATATCTCTTAGCCTGCAAGCTCCATGAGCTTCTCCCTGGCCCTGGACATACAGTAGGTTAGAAATAGCGATAGGAGGCTAGGCTAAAGACCTGCTAGCCTTGATCTTGGTGGCCAGGGCAATGCTAGGCACATGGACAGGCTCAATAAATGTTGGTAACCAAGTACAGATAATTAATTTGTACTTGGTTAATTAATTAACCACTTGCTCCAGTATTTTCTATATAAGTTTAAATTTTGTACAGTAGTGTATATTTGAATTCAGACATATGTATATTTTGTTTATTGTTTTTAAAAATTCTTTTTGCAGAAGTAGACAGTGTGGCACAGTGTCACATTCAGCTTGCGCAGACCCTAAGAGAAGAGGCCAGGAAGATAGAAGAATTCAGGGAAAAGCAGAAGCTACAACGGAAAAAGGTTGGGTTTGTATACATGTCAAGATGTTGCTTTTCTTGTTGCAGAATACTCCAGGCTGGCTTGTTCATTAAACTCCTTGGCTCAGCTCCCTCCCTCATGCAACCATGCTCTTCGTTTAACCTATGAGATTATTTATTGGTGAACCATGTGGACATTCATGGTTCTGTGCCCACTTACACCCCAGGCCAGTTCTTTTTAAATTTTTGCCGAATTCAGGGGTCCAGCCTGCTTTCTTCTTTTCATATCTGCTGCCACTATTTAAACTCTGACTGGAAAGGGGAACCTCCCTCTTCAGTAGAGTCTAGCATATCCAAGCTGGCGGGCTCCTAGGCCACACTCCTCCTGGACAAGGCAGTAAGGGGAGGGTAAGAAGTGGAGGAGACTCACATTCTCCTTGGAGACCATAATGTAGTCCAATCTCCCTATTTTATAAATAGGGAAACTGAGGCCCTGGGAAATCCAAGTACTTTTTGTCTTCAAAGCAGATGTACATAAGCTCTTTTCTGTTGATGGGGTTTACTCTGGCCAGCTACACGGAAGGAGATGGGAATGAGCAAGTTAATAAAACTGGCAAACATTTAGGACGTTAGACTAGATGAGCCACTATTCTGACTCCCCTCTGTTTTGTTCCTAAGACTTGTATATTCAGCTTGGCCTGGCAGCCAAGTAGGGCCTTCCCAGAATTTCTTTTTTTAATATTTGGTCTCCAAGGCTGGAACCCAGCTTCACATGGAGGACAAGCTCTTCCCTATCCAGCATCCAAAGATTTCCATTCAGATCTCCATAGGCAGCTCTGCATGGACTCTTGGGAAAACTTCCTTCATCTTGACCCTACCAATGTCATGTCTGTAGTGTGTGTGTTTGATAGACAGCCCGTTGTTAAGGGTGATGCTACTCATACCTCAGTCTCAGCAGCTTTGCCTGTGGTTCTCAGTCAGTCTGTTCTGGGTCTCCTTGGTGGCCACTTGGCATTTAGAGTGGGTGGCAGCATCTTAAGAGCCTGACTGCCTTACTTCTATTGTCATTTCATGAGAAGCTCTTATAGCTGCGCCTCTTGCTAGGCAGGAAGGCTGGAGACGAACATTTCAGGAACACCATATCAAGCACTTTCACACAAATTCAAGCTTCGTGCACCAGTTCTGAGGGGTCCATCTGGCCCAAAGTATTTTTCAGAGCAGAAATAATATGTATATTACACCCACCTATTGGATGGTCAAACTTTTTTGACTGATTTTGCCAACCCTGCCCACCTTTCTAGAGGAATTACAAATTTTGAGAAGCAAAATGCCTTAGACAACAAAGGTCTATGCACATATGATTTCCACTAAAAGGAGAGGAGGGTCATTTCCTCACATCTTCAAGTGCCCTGGGTAACCCTAGTCATTTTGGAGAAAGTTTTGCTAATTTTGCAAGGCTTCTGAAACTTCCCCTCCTAACAAGTTACAAAGAAAATTCTCAGTGCTAGAAGACCGTGCTCTGGATTCTGTTAGGCAATAGAGCAGCTGGTGCTCAGCTCACCACTGTCATCCAAGTTCCCTATACACTTTCTGTAGTGTGTTCTCTACAGCAGGACAACGCCTTCCCAGCTTTCTGGGAAAAGTTTATTAATACATTTGTAGTTACTTGTATCACAATGAATTCTGGGTTGTTCCACTTCCACATATAGATACTTTTTTTTAAAAAAAAAAATCTAACTCTGGAGGAAACTGTGTAATTGCTAACTTCTCATTTCCACTGGTCAAACCCTACACACTTTGGTTTTTCACTTCTTGGAAATTAAGCCATTTCCACTTATCAAGGAAAGCCATCAGTTGGTTTCTTTTATCAAACTGGGGCAGGGAGGTGTGTGGATAGTGGCTGGTCTGAAGTTTATGGTGTACTCACTTACACAGCTATCCAAGGGTGGTAAACAATATGGACATGGTCATCTCTGCCTCACTGAGTGTAGAGCACAGCCAGAGAGACTGACGTGACATAGTAATCATGATAAAGTGCGATGAGCCTTAAATGGTAGGGGAGATCAGGGTGCCACCTGAACATAACAGCAGGGACACCTAACCTAATCTGTGGGGCTGGGAGGCCTCCTGGAGGAAGTGACCTTGAAGCTAAAACCAGCAGAGTGAAAGGCAATATAGGTGAGGGTGGTAAGAGACGAAGCTCTTGCTCCTGGTGGCAAGAAGGGGTCCTCGGAGCTATTCTCAGGAGTCTTGATGTTTTAGGATACTGAGGCTCCTTCCCCAGCCCAGAATGCCCTAAGTCTGGCAGAGACAGCACTTGGTACGTTCTCTCTCCTCTGGTACCCATATCATTTTACCATCTCAGTTAAGAGCAGAATAATCATGGCAGAATTTTGTTCTGCCTGTGTAGAGAGCAATCTCCAAAGAAAGAAACCTCCTTGGTTATAGAGAGTGATGTTTCCAGTTTTCAGGATACAGTCCGAGTAGGGTAGACAGACACACAGATCACTAAGCAGCTATTTCCATAAATAGGGCAGGGTCATTTGGGTCATTAATACATCTCTTCTACCTTTTTCCCCTCTCTCTTACTTCTCCCCACCCTATAGCAGGGATGATTGTGGTTTTGCACTACTTCGTGTTATCAATAACAAAACAATCAGATTTCCATCCGATTTGGCCTGAGCAGAAAATCTGAGTCCTAAAAGAAGCACTTCCCCAAGGTGACCTGAAAGAGAACCCTTGACTTACTGGGGCCACCATGAGTGGGGTCACCTTATAAGTGAACCATGGGCATGAGGAGACTTAAATTGAGGTGGTGTAGCAGAGCAGGACTTGTTGTCACTGAGTAGCCTTGAGCAAAGGCCACCAATGGGGTGACCTCTGGGATCCTAGGGGTTACACTTGTCAGGTGAGAGAGTAGGATTTCTGCTCTCTAGGATTCTGCCGTTGTAAAAATGCCAGGAATCCTTGAAGGCAGAGAGAGAAATGATATGAAGTGGAAAGGTGTGGCTCATAGAACTTTGTAGCCATCTGAGCGTGCTTGTAGAACTCAGGAATAAGGAGGTCTGGGTTGGGCCATAAACTATAAAATAGTCGCAGCTTCCAAGCTGGAAGAATGACAGTGTGCTGTGTATATTTGGACTAGAAAGGACTATGGAGTAGATCGGACATTGCTAACTGATCTGCTCCAGGGAGCCTGGGAAAATCAGGGGCACATAGGGGCTCATGCCTGCAATGGCAAGGGTCTCCCCACGATCATGTTGGAGCCCTGTCTGTTCTCTGTGTCCATTGTATCTTCACCATTCGCAGGTACATGGCCATTCCTGGTGCCTCCCTCTCAGCTGGGCTGGACAATGATATCTCAGTTCTCTGAGGGAGTCTTGGGGTTCCCCCAGGGGAAGTTCATGTATTCCACAAAGCTCATATTTGTATGGTAACAGATAGAAACTTAGTTTTCCCAAAGAGAAACCATATTTGAGTTTCATTTTCAGTCTTATTTTGCATTATATCATTTTGCACAAGAGCAATGTCACAGCTCATTTTGAATGATTGCATCTCTTGGTCTTCTATGCACCCATTTGCTTTTATAGAGCTACTGTAAGGATAAGGGTAGTTTAGGTATAAGAGTCAGGTTCCCGAGCTCAAATATCAACTCTGCTACTTGCTGAGTAGTACCTTTGGTAAATTAATCCACCTCAGTTTACTGTCAAGGAAGAAAATGAGAACAAAAGTATTAGGTGGTTGTGATGCATGAAAACTGCTTAGCACATAATAATGCTTGATAAAAGGGAGCTAATATTATGTCTGAGGTACATTTTTATTATTACTGCATTACTTTGACTAATAAATGTATTACTGTCACAGCCACAGCAAAGAAATTGCTCCCAAGTGAACTCAACAGAGTAGTTTACCTTTGCTGGCTTAGATGGAGTGAAGAGCGGGAGAACAGCTTCTTTTAGCGGTCCTACAAACGTTTCTCCCCTTCATCCTGCCCAGGCTCCTTCTGGTTATGGGTGCATCATTGACGGATGCCACAGAAGTGAATGTTTATATAAGTCTCTAATTTTAACTGTGCTCACATAAGCTTACAAAAAAAGACCCCTTTTAAAATAGAAATGACACTTTAACAAAAGCTTAAAAAGCCCTTTTTTGACACCAAAGTTCCTTGATTCCAGATCTGCTGAAGAGACTATTCTAAGGTGATCAATGCCTCTCAATGGTGGCTACCCAAGTTCAAGATGGACCCCCTCCATTAACCAGCCATAGGACCTTGGGCAAATTGTTCAGCCCCTTTGCTGCAGTTTTCTCATTTGTGAAATAGGAATAAATAGTACATCTACTTTCTGGGTCGTGTGAGGACTCAATGAGATAATTCGTCTAGAACACTTAGCCCTCAAGATAAGATGGTATTAACAATAATTTCTGTTTTTATTATTAATAATGCTTGTGTTCTCTTCACAGACAGAACTTATCATGGAAGCTATGCATAAACAAAGGAGCTCACAATTCAAGAAAACCATGGATGTGAGTTCACTTTATTGCCTTTTTCTGAAATCCTGAGCTGTGTATGAGCATATTTCTCAAATAACATTTCAATAATGTTATTTATTAGGGTAGTGATTTTTTTTTTTTAGTGATTTGGCTTTCCTTTTTAAAAAAAATATGTTTTTATTGATTTCAGAGAGAGAGGAAGGGAGGAGAGAGAAACATCAATGATGAGAGAGTCATTGATCAGCTGCCTCCTGCACGCCCTACAACCTGGGCATGTGCCCTGACTGGGAATTGAACCATGACCAACTGGTTCATAGGCCGACACTCAACCACCGAGCCATGCTGGCCGGGGCTGACTTTCCTTCTTTTTAAGGCCTTGGAAATATTGAGGACAAAACTAGATAGTGGGAACACAGTATTATCTTTCCAGTAACCTGGGAAAGTATAGCAAGTTAATTTAAATATTTCAGGCCAAGGCACACAAAAATATATACCATATGATCCCATTTATCTCGTTGGATTTGAGCTTCCCACCCCCCATCCCCCATGACTGTTCTGAATCTTGATTTCTTAACTAATTTTATTGAGTGACCCTTTCCTGTTTTAAGATATCTGCTAATTGTAAAAGCCTTTTCCCCCTTTAAGTAATTTATTAAAATTTTTTTTTTAACAAGGCAGAGCTAAGATAGTTTGCTAAGGACCTCACTCTAGCTTTTCATGAACCTGTTAACTTAGGATACAATGAATTCTGTTACTGCAACATCTATGACTCCATCTTTATACAGAAGTATCATGATGATATTCTATGGCTGTGACATGATATCCAGTAACCTAGTAAAAAAGAAAATGTCACCAATGTTAATGGCAATATGCAATCTGTTCTGTGTCTTTTTCTTTTTCTTTTTCTTTTTCTTTTTCTTTTTCTTTTTCTTTTTCTTTTTCTTTTTCTTTTTCTTTTTCTTTTTTTCTTTTTCTTCATTGCAAATCACCTCACAAGCAGTTGATAAATGGGGAATCATGTCAGTTTAATGCAGAAATAGTGTTGATTGACATATGATTGTCCTCAGACCTTTTATGTTTTGAACAAGCTTTTTCTCAATTAAAGAGAAATTCTTACTGAAATAGAATTTTCTTAACTATTTCCTTGCCCTACATTTAGAGTTATATAAATGTTATAATTTTGCTTCAACTGTCAAAAAAAATTTAGAAAACTCAGGAAGAGAAAGACTATTGTATTTACCCATTTTTTGCTTACTGTCTTCTCTTTTTTTTCCTTCTGATGTTGCAAGGTTTCTTCTTTTATAATTTCCTTTTGTTTAGATAACTTCCTTTAACAATTCTTCAGGATAGATCTCCTAGTGACAAATACACTGAGTTTCCCTTCATCTGAGAATGTCTTGATTTCACCTTCATTCTTAAAGGATATTCTCACTGGATATAGGATTGTGTATTGACAGCTCTTTTCTTTCAGTCCTTGAAAAATGTTGTGCCACTTCTTCATGACCTCTATAGTTTCTGCTAAGAAATTCACTGTCATTCAAATTGATTTTTCCTTTTGTTTTTAGTTTTCAGAAGTTCACCTGTGTATCTCGTTATGAATTTGTTTGGCTTTATCTTGTTTGGGTTTGAGTAAGCTTCTTGAATATATCTTTTGCCAAATTTGGAAAAAGAATTTGAAAATTGTTTCTTTGAGTACTTTTTCAGCCAGCCCTCCTTATCTCCTAGGATTCTAAGAATGCTACTGTTAAATCTTTTTATTTATTTAAATAATGGCAAAGGTCCCTGTGTCTCTATTTTTTCCACCTATTTTGTCTTTGTTGTTCAGATTAGGTAATTTATATTGTTTTATCTTCCAGCTCACCAATACTTTCTTCTCTCCCATTCTCTTCTTAAGCCCATCATTGAGTTTTTAAAATTTCAGTTATTATATTTTTCAGTTCTAAAATTTTCATTCGGTTCTTCTATATATCTTCTATTTCTTTGCTGAGATTTCCTATTTCTTTAACAAGATACTATATTTTCATTTGCTTCAAGTGTGTTTGTAATTGCTCATTAAATATTTTTATGATGGCTGCTTTAAAATCTGTCAGATAATTCTAACATCTCTGTCATCCTGATGTTGGTATCTGTTGATGGTCTTTTTCATACACTTTGAGATCTTCCTGCCTCTTGGTATAATGAGTGATATTTAATTGATTTTGGGAATTTAGGTACTGTTAGAAGACTCTGGGTCTTATTTAAACCTTCTGTTTTAGCTGGCTTCCTTTGATATCACTCCAGCAGAAGGAGGTGAAGCACTGACTCATTATTGCTCTGTGGGAGTAAAACTCTGGGTTACCCCCTTAGTCTCTGCTGACATCACAGGGTAGGTGTGGCCTTGTTACTACTGGATGGTGGTTAGTGTTCTGACTCTCCACTAGATCTCTTGTGATACCACCCCAGCAGGGAGGGGTGCACCTCATTATTACCAGGTGGGGGTAGAAATCCAGGTTCCCTACATGGTTTCCACTGGCACTGCCTTTGGGACTTTGCTACCTTCTGGTGGGAATGAAAGTCCCAGTTTCCTGTTTGGCCCTCCTTGACACCACCTGGATGTGGGAGTTGGGCACCTCATTACAGTTTGGTGATGGTGGATGTCTAGACTGTATTTTGCCTTTGCTGGATGTGTGGGGGTGGGGGCCACAGTTTTTTTATGTGGTGTTTGGCTGAAGCAGAATGTCTATTTTCTAAAGGTTTCTATCCTGCTAGGCTGCCCCTTTTCTGGTCTTTTGGTTAGGGAGAGCAAGGTTTGGTTGGGATTTTTGTTTGTTTGTCAGTGTCCATTGGCATTTCTTGGTTGCCTGCTTCTTTGGCATTCAGTCTGTGATATGTGAGGCAAAAGGAATACCCAGAGAACACACTTCTAGGTTGCTCTTCTGAGACCAAGGCTGTTAGCCAGTCTGCCTTCTTTCTACCTTTTAGAGTCTTATGTTTCTTTTATATATAATGTCCAGGGTTTCTAATTGTACTTGTGTGGAAGGATAAGAAAAGTACGTTTGCTCTCTTTCCCAGGATCCCACATAATCCTATAAAAAAGTATTTTGTGATATGTTTTCAGAGCCATAAATATGATCATACCCCATTAATCTTATGCTAGGAATGTAAGACTCTATTTTTAGGAAATCATCAAAGACAAGAAAGACAAGGCACAAACTTGTTCATCACTTACAATGAAAATTGCAAATGATTTAGTGACCAAAAAATGGATAAAGATTAAAATAAATTTTGTAACCTTTAAAAATATGATTATGAGCACTATGTAGCAACAGAAAAAATTGCTTAATATGTCATATTAAAAAATAATGCAGAGAGAGAAAGACTGATTACTGACAACATTAACAGTTAAGACTTCTTTAGAACAAAGGAAAAAATATATTATCATATACATGGTTTGAAGACAGATGACTAGTGGGAAATATTTGTAACTTATTTAATGTACAGCCAGTTAGTGTTCCTAATATAGACTGAGCTCTTTAAAAATATTTTATTGATTGATTGATTGATTGATTTTAGAGAGGGAGAGAACAAAGAGGGTAAAGAGAAAGAGAGAGCAAGACACATCAGTTTGTTGTTCCACTTATTTATGTACTCACTGGCTGCTTCTTGTTATGTGCCCTGACTGGAGATCAAACCTGCAACCTTAGTGTATTGGGACGGCACTCTAACTAACTGAGCTACCAGGCCAGGGCGAGACTGAGCTCTTAAAAACCAATTAAGCCCAGCCAGCATGGCTCAGTGGTTGAGCATTGACCTATACTCCAGGAGATCACTGTTCGATTCCCGGTCAAGACACATGCTTGGGTTGTGGGCTCGATCCCCAGTAGGGGGTGTGCAGGAAGCAGCTGATCAATGACATTCTCATCATTAATGTTTCTCTCTCTCTCTCTGTCTCCCCCTCTCCCTTCCCCTCTCTGAAGTCAATAAAGACATATTAAAAAAAATTAAAATAAAGAATACTCTAGCCTGGCCGGGCGTGGCTCAGCGGTTGAGCGTCGACCTAGGATCCAGGCGATCGGGGTTCGATTCCCGGTCAGGGCACATGCCCGGGTTGTGGGTTCGATCAATGACTCTCTTATCATTGATGTTTCTGTCTCTCTCTCTCTCCTTTCCTCTCTCTGAAATCAATAAAGATATATTAAAAAAAAAAAAAGAATACTCTAGTAGAAAAATAGGTAAAATACATCACGTAGAAAGGACATACCTACTAGTAATGACATAAATACACATAAAGCAACAACATGTTAACATTCTCTCCTCTCATATTAGAAAAGATTAAAAAATATTGTCTAAACTTAGTGTTGGTGAGAATGTGAGGAAACAGGTACTTTTGTATACTTTCGGTAAGAGTATAAGTTGGTGCCGCTATTTTGTGGGGACTTCTGATGTGTATATACTGTTTTACCAAACAATTACACTTATAGAAATTTTATAATTCACACTACTCAAAATAAAATCAGAGTATATAATAAAAATGGAAAATAAGATAATGTCCGCCATAGAGTTGGTTAAGAAAATTATGCGCGTGTGTGTATTTACTACTAATAGAAGTGACCAGCTATGGAGACCATGCCTGATGCAGAGAAATGTCTGTAGCATATTGTTACAAAAGGTAAGAACTGTGGCATGAATATCTTATCTGCTTGTAATAGTGAAAAGCTACGAACTTTTATTTCTATGAGTGTGTAGCATAGAGAGAGAATTGTAAGGCTGTTTACTGAAAGGTTAATCCCAACTGAATTGGAAGGGATGCTGAGAAATTTAGGGAAGCAGATGAAATATTTAATGAGCACAAAGCATCTCTGCAACAGAGTCTTCATTCTTAGTCAATCATTTTTTTTTAATCACGATTTTTACTTATTAGCTAAATGATTCACACCTTTGCTTTGTTTAAACAAGTTAAAACTTTGCTTCAGTAGTCGAAACAGGAAATTATTTTATTCACAACCTGTGGTTTGTGAACTGTTTTCATACTACTGGCCTACTTTTAAATGAGCTCAAACAGAATTCTTTAAATCAAAGAGGAACATTACCATCCTTAAGCAACAGGAATGATGGGATTGTTGTCACTGTCCATGTGCATTGGTGACGCATATTAGAATATTGAAGCATAATTATTATTACCACAACCAAGTGATTGCACCTAAGCTCTGAGGATTATGAATGCTGTGTAAATGTTGGACTACATATTTTATAGTTACATAGGTCTTTTGATTTTTCCCATCTGAAATGCCATCTTTTGTTCTGGTCAGTTTTTAAAGCTCATATACTTTGTTTACCAAATAGGAGCTATTGTTTCCTTAATCAGGCTGCCACTATATACATAATTTGGAAAAGGGCTAGAGAGACCTTCCAAAGATAGATAAGAAATAGCATCTGCCTTCTGAGTGGCCACATTCTAGTGGTGATCACAGTCTTGTTCAGGTTACCTCCACTTTCTTTGGCTGGGTTTGGCAGGCTAGGATGTATGCTTTTCAGGGTTATGTTCTGCTCACCTATTTTGGTCTTCTTTTCCACTAAGGCTAAAAAGAACTATGAGCAGAAATGCCGAGACAAAGATGACGCAGAGCAGGCTGTCCACAGAAGTGCCAGCCAGGTGAACCCGAAGCAACAGGAAAAGGTACCTGGAAGGGCTGACTGCCTGAAAATCTGAGATTTACTATATTAAGCTAAAGCCAAGTAATACTCTTAATTAAAAATAGACCTGCTCCCTAAGCTTCTAGCATTATCTTCCTTTAGACTATTAGGATCCTCTGAACCAGAAAAAACCTTCACATTTTTGGGATTGTGGAAGAGCTAGAGAAAGGAGGCCATGGGGGAGGGAGTAGGGTGGTAAGTGGGGCAGGAGGGTTCTGATTTTTTTTCATCTTTCTTCAAAACTGAACTCATGTATTCTTTGTAGCAGGGCTGCCTCCTGCTTGGGTGTATTATAAATTTAATTTGATAAAATCTGGATATAAGATTGCCAGCAACCAGAGGGCAGGAGTATGTCTTTAGGAAGACGTAGGGCAAGGTGCTTGATGTATATTTTCCAATGGCAGTAAGATTAGAGGGCGAGTTGAATGATTTGCTCATGAACTAGCATTTGTGTCTTCACGGTCATTGCTTTGAGATTTGTTTTGGCTACAGAATCTTAGCCCAGCATTCTTGATCCTTGTTGTTGTCTCCCCTCCTCCACCCCAGCTTTTTGTGAAACTGGCAACTTCGAAGACAGCAGCAGAGGACTCCGGTGAGGGGGCTCCCAAGGATGGGGAGGATTGTGGTGGGGTTCACGTGATCCCGAATCTGTCCAAGGAAGGTAGTTTGATACACCTTACGATGAAGAACATAGGATTATACAATAGGCTTTCAGAAGGGAAAAACAGGAAGGAAGGGAAGGAGGAAGGGAGGGAGGGAAGGGAAACGATGAGAAAGCAAATGAGGCAGCAGTTTCTGGCCACTGCCTGCTTGGTCCGGCTGCCTTACATGTAATAGCGTGGTGACCATAAGGTCATGTGGCAGCTGCTTTGTGATCAGGGGCTAACAGATATTTTTGGAACATCTATTTTAAAAGCTCATTTCAGCCTTGATTAACTCTTACCTGCTATGAAAGAAACAGCCAAGTCCTGAAGCCTTGCCATCATTGAAATCTAAGATCCAAACCAGATCTTTGCAAAGGCTTTTAATTCCCAGAGTATCCTGCAGGGAATAAACCTCTCATGACCAGGGTCACTTAGGAAGTCTCTAAACCCCAAACTAAAGTAACTTGGTGCCCTTTAGGGCTCAGAGTTCTCTGCATCTCTCATTGGACAATTTTCCTGAAAATGAAAAGGAGTGGAAGCTATCAAGGTGGAATCAGACAAAGAAAACTCTGGCCGAGGTTCCTCCTCCGCTTTCACTTCTCCTTCCTTGAATCGTTTCTCGCTAATTGCTTGGTTCAGTGTTTATTTTGCAAAGATAATATGAGGGTGAGAGAGGTGATTATGGCCTTCCAACCGTTCAGAGTTCCACGGAGCCTCGTGAGGTTTATTTGCCATCTGGGATGGGCCTG